CATCAGACATCGGTTCGTGAGATTTCCACACTAAAGAAATATATTAATTACGACATTTTTGGAAGATTAAGAATCTACTTTAATTCTATAAGTGGAAAAAAATGTGTTTACTTTTTTTTCTTTTTTTTTTCCCGCCAATCACTTAAGAGACAACTAATTCAAAAATGTCACGTCTAATATCATCTCCCCCCACCCGCCTGCCCCCCTCCCCCCTGCCCCTCCGTTGAAAAATATGAAAAAATTGTGCCTGCAAAGACTGGCAGTTTGCATGGTGACGCTCAAATGCAAACATTGACCCACACGAAGTTTTTGCTTTAAATCTCGTGTTTAATAATATTTACTACGACTGTGTTAGTAATCATAATCTCATTTTCATCTTGATTATAGCATTTTCCATTACTAGTCCAGCTGGCCAGGCTTTATGAGTCAAGAATGTTTTCCTCACATTTAACATCCTATGGTTAGTTTAAAATGAGTCAAGACGTGCCCGTTAGTATTCCGTTATCTGAAAAGCTCATCTGGCAGAAGCCATACTGATATATATTTCTTGACATTCTACATTATCTGTGGTTGTGTATAATGTACGTATCGTCAGGCTAGTGCCTGCCTCAGGACGAAGCGTTTGTGCGCCAAACGAAGAATTGCCAAGTATTGCACAATTCTGCCCTTCGCCGGCCCTCACCTGGCCATAGCCCGCCCGCCGCCCGCGCGATCCTGTCTTGGGCAGGGGCGCCTCAACTCGTCGCCTTGAGGGCCATCAACGTCCTCGTTACCCCGGCGATCCTAGCATTACATCACTCTAAACGACCTTCCCGACAGACTGCTCGCCTCAGCCCTAACACGACTCAATACACCCAGGACTGCCAATATTGCGTGTGAACGCACGGGAGAAATAAACGGCATTCGAAGGGGAAATGAAATAAGCGCTCGTAAGGCGGGGCGCCGCGGCCCCGCCCTTATCACTCCGACGGAGGCACGCCACATGACTCCTGCCTGCGCGCCTCCGCCCGGCGTCGACACGAGACACCTGCCAATGTCGTTAGCGAGGCCGGTGGCGGGGCGGCGTTTGCAAATTCGTCTACAGTATTTCCTTTCTTCCCTCCCTTCTACCTTACCTAACTCTTCTCTTCTCTTCCCTCTCCTCTCTCTCTTTTTCCCTTCCCCTCTGTACACCCCGCTCCCTTCATCCCCTCACGTACAAAGAATGCAAAGGAGAGGCACTGCCGAACACAGCGGGCTCGTGCACTGCAGGAGGCCTGTGCTATTGGCTTCGCTCGCCTCCTCCTGCCTCCGCCTCTCCGCTGCCGCCCATTTTGCGCCCGTTACAGTCTGCTCTTAAATCTCGCGGGGCCTCTGACGCGAAGGCTGCTGGCGGACGTCTGCATCATCTACACACACACACACACACACACACACACACAACACACAAAGAGAGAGAGAGAGAGAGAGAGAGAGAGAGAGCGAGAGAGAAGAGAGAGAGAGAGAGAGAGAGAGAGAGAGAGAGAGAGAGAGAGAGAGAGAGAGAGAGAGAGAGAGAGAGAGAAAGAGAGAAAGAGAGAAAGAGAGAAAGAGAGAAGAGAGAAAGAGAGAAAGAAGACAAAGAGAGAAGAGGAGAGAGCCTCAACCTCATCCAGATTAGACTGCCGCTAAGATGACGCCCCACCCGCGGCGACCGAGTGGGCGTGAGATGAGAAATTGAACAATAACACTATTTTCGGCCAAAACAGGAAAAGCCGTAAAAATCCCCCTTAATCCCATAAAAATTCCGGAATGGCCGACCAAACTGGAAACTCATTTAAGCTCTTCGGTTCCTCAGGCCGGCGACGACGGGGGTATGGAGGGGCATCGCCACGCCCTTCGCCGGGGCAGGGGAGACGGCGAGGCACTGAGGGAGGGGATGGGTTTGGGGGGGGAGGGGATGAGAGAGGAGAGGCGTTAATAAGGGAGAGATAGGGATGGCGGAGGGAAGGGAAGAGAGGAACAGGGGGGGGGGCAAGCATGGATGGGGGACGGGATCAAATCGAAAAAAAATGGAAAGGAATCCTTACTGCGTCACGGCGTAGCGAAAATCACTACAGCGGTAAGCATTAAAACAAACCGACGAACCGAACTCGACGCTACATTGTCAATCAAGTGAAAACGCCGCAACGAAATAATAACCACCATAAAAATACCTGAAAATAAGGAAAAAAATATCGAAAAATAATAACCACCAAAAATACCTGAAATAAGAAAATATCGAAAAATAATAATAATAAGAGGCAAGAAATAGAGCCATAGTCGCAAAGAAAATTATAGAAAAAATAAACAATATAACGTACACACTTGTTGTCGAGAGGAGACAAGAGTCCCAGCTGAGTCTGGCCACTCGGCAGCTGGCATCAATCTGTGCGCCTGGCAACGGGCACCGTACCACCTCAACACCATACACACACACGATCCTAACACTACACCCAACCACACACGACACGTCTACTACACATCCTACATATACACACAGTCTACACACCATACACACACACACAGTCATCCATACACACACACCAACACCGTCTAACTCCATACATCCACACACACGTCTACACATCCATACACACACACACAACAACACCACACAGATACACATATCACAACACGTTACACACATCACACCACACCAGTCTACAATCTACACATGCCACACACATAACATACACCACATGTTTACAATATACCCACACGCATGTACCAATGAGGTCTCTACAACTCCCCACCACAACAGTCTACATAACACACACGCCACACACACCACACACACAATCTGCAACAACACAACGCATCACATCACACAATACACATAACGCAACCAACCAGACACACAGGCACAAACACACTCCACGCACCCGGACGCCCACATCAACATAAAAATCCCGCCACTACCTCATATCCACAGTCACATACAGCTATACAGCCACATATTTACGTCAACACCCCACCCTACACCCACCCACACGCCCAAATACTCCGAACATTGACCAACCTTCTTCGGGGGCAATGGAAGCCCACGCCCCACGCCCCGCACGCACCATCCGGCCCGTTTACCCGCCCACGCCCCATCGTTAATGTTGCTAATGTTGTTTGCTGCTGTGGTTGTTACAACTGTCATTATCATTATCTATATCCTCATAATTAATATCATCATTATTACTATCGTCGTCGTCGTCATCATCAATATCGTCGTCATCATCGTAATCATTATCATTATTCTTATCCTTATCATCATCATCGTCATTATTATATTTCTGACTGTCATTATCATCAGTATTGTGTTATTATCCTTTTTCAACAATGACTGATTTTGAAATTGTGCGAGACTTCCACTTTCTCCTTCCCTGAGGAACTTGATGAAGACGAAGCACAGACGAAGGGAAGCGACACAAGTCGAGTGACAGAGGACACACCGCCATATTGGATCTCTGTTGTAAGCACTTGACCACCGCTGTGACACCTGACCACCCCACCCTCGGCTCGGTGAACACCACCCACAACCTCGGACGACCACTGGGAGGTTGGGGACTGTAGGATAGGGAAGTGGGGGGGGGGGGGGCAGAGGGAATAAAACGTAAAATACAAGAGAACGAGAGCATAAGTGGGCAAGGGGGGTAAGGCGACAGGAAGGAGAAGAGGGAGGGAGCAAGGGAAGGGGAAGAGGAAGGGAGACGAAAGAGTAAAAAGGAGACGGAGGGAGGGCGGGGAAGAGGAGAGAGAAGGGAGAGGGAGAGAGGGAGAGTGAGAGAATGAGTGAGAAGTAGAGGGAGAGGGAGAGAGAGAGAGAGAGAGAGAGAGGAGAGAGAGAGAGAGAGAGAGAGAGAGAGAGAGAGAGAGAGAGAGAGAGAGAGAGAGAGAAAAGAGAGAGAGAGAGAGCAAGAGAGAAGAGAGAGGAAAGAGACAGACAGACAGAGAGAGACCACCAGCGAGGGCATTCAAAGTCCTCCTACTATCTCCGTATGATCTCCCCGCCCACTGACACGGAACGCCATCCGCGCCCGTGTCACTGGAGCACAACCCTGATACACGAGCCTCCGAGGGGCTCCTGCGAACTCTCCGTCAAAAGATCCGGGTTGGGGAACGGGCAAGGAGAGTGACTTTCTCACCTACATAAGCACATTTGTAATTACGGCGATCAAGTCCCGTTTTTTGTAATATCATGTGACGTTAATCTGCTGCATTTTCCCTTCACATGCTTACCATAAGCTCACATCGACATAGACAGATAACGAAGTACACATACTATGGAGGAGAGAGAGAGAGAGAGAGAGAGAGAGAGATGAGAGAGAGAGAGAGGAGAGAGACAAAGAGAGAGAGAGAGAGACAAAGAGAGAGAGAGAGAGATAAAGAGAGAAGAGAGAGATAAAGATAGAGAGAGAGATAAAGGAGAGGAGAGATAAAGAGAGGAGAGAGACGATTAAACGAGAGAGAGAGAGAGAGAGAGGAGAGCGGATCAAAGAGGAGAGAGGAAGAGTAGAGACAAAGAGACGCAGATGAGAGAGAGAGAGAGAGAGGGAGAGAGAGAGAGAGAGAGATGAGAGAGAGAGAGAGAGAGGGAGAGAGAGAGAAAGGGAGGAGAGAGAGAGAGGGAGCCTGGCAGGGGCACCATCCCGCGGGAATGGCACGCGCCGGCTTGACCGCCCGTCGCCAGTTCGCCGTTATTGCCTCGCCGTGGATTCGTGCTCGCCGCCCGCCTTTCATTCGCCCGCGGGTTTATTTGTATCGGTATGTGTGTGTTGGCGTGTTTGTGCGTGTGGTCTTGTGTGTGTGCGTGCGTGTGTGTGGCGGTGGTGTATATGTGCGATTTGCGCTATCTGCGTGCAGCGATGCACGAATGAAGATAATTAATTCCCTAAATATTCCAGACAAACGGATGGCGGTCCCTCCGTTCCCGCCAAGAACGGGCGAAAGCCGCCTATTAACGACAGCAGCGAGCCCTCTTTTGTCCGCC